CAACTTCTTCCTTTGATTGACATTCGTCAGATCATTCCTTTGTGGTGTTGCAATTTTAGTGGCTAGCAATGTATAAAAACACACATAATTTTTAACTCCCAAATTTCACACAAAATCATCAGCCCACGTATCGTATTTCGAGGCTTTTCTATCCTGGGCAGTATGTACCTCAAAATCAGGCCTGCAGGAATTTCCAGCCATGACAAGTGGCCTATTCTTATTTTTATTTCCTTCTTTAAGCTATTAACGAATGCAAAAATTTTTTCCACGTTAGACTTAGCATCAGGTTATTGGCATACACAATTAAATGAAAAAGATACTGAAAAATTAGCATTTTCCACAAATTTTGGCCTTCATCAATTAAATATATTACCTTTTGGTTAGAAAAATTCCCCCGCTGTTTTCCAAAGAACTCTTAGACAAATTTTAAACAAATATCAGATTCAGTTTGCTTTAAATAATTTTGATGACATAGTGTTTTCTTTAAATTTTGATAAACATCTTAAAATAATATTTGATATATGTGAAAAAGAGAACATGAAATTTAAGCAATCTAAATGTAACTTTGCTAAAGAAAAAACATATTTTCTAGGATATGAAGTTCAAGGAGGAAAATATCAGCCTTGTAATGAAATATTGAAGTTATTAAAAAATTACAAACCCCTAAAAATGTTAAGAATTACAAAGATTTTTAGGAAATATAAATGTATACCATAAAATTATTCAAGATTATGCAAAAATTAGAGCCCCTTTAACAAATTTATTTAAAAAAGATACTCCCTATAAATGGACTACTGAATGTCAAACAGCTTTTCAAAATTTTAAAGATGCATTAATTTCGAGTGCCATTCTAACTTAATTTAATCCAAAATATCCTTGTCACGTATTTGTTAGACATATATAAAGATTCTGGTGCAGTTCTAAAACAAGATCATCCGGATGATAATCTTCATCCAATTGCTTTTCATTCTAGGAAATTAAGGTCTTACTAGCAAAATTATGCAAATACTGAATTAGAATGTTTAGTCATTATTGATGCTATAAATAAATTTTATTATTATCTACATGATAATCATTTTACTGTACATACTGGTCACGCTGCTTTAGTTTGGCTTCAATTTAATAAGAAAAATAAATAAAAGAGATCTGGTTTAATGTAAGCCTTACCATCTGTTAGTGAACCTTTTGAATTATTGTCTGTTGATACTGTTGGTGCTTTAAATTATTATAATTCTACTAAAATTTATATTCATATAATTATTGATCATGGTACAGGTTATATATGGACTTTTGCTTCTAAAAGTGTAACTACTGATACTTACATAAATTGTTCAAGACAAACTTTTCAAATTCAAGTACCAAAGAAAATTTTAAGTGATAGAAATGATGCTTTTACTTCAAACTTTAAGGGGTATCAGCAACCACTATACCAACAATGTTAAACTGGCCATTTTCGATGTACCTTTGCTCAAAACCTGCTGTAGAAACAAGCTTGAAATTTTTTGTGTAATTAAAGTATACCCTGCATCATTATACTGAAATGAGCGTTTGAAACATTTTGAATTTTAGAGTATTTTATAGAATATTTTGTTCGGCATAGTAAAATTAAGCACTTTTCTTACACAAAACAATTTTAAAAAATTTTTTTTCTTAGTTTATCACAAAAAGCTCATTTCTGTAAATATTAGGAAACATAATAAACAAGCCATAAAAATTTTAGATACCTGTGAGCAGTAGTTTCTGAGAAAAGGTACATCAAGTATAAAAAAAAATCATGTTTGGAGAAAAACGTGTTTTTATGTAAAAAATCCTTATTGGTCAAAGCATTCGATGACAAATTAAAACTAGAATTTTTACAGTTCTAATTTTCATAGAGATTAAAGAATGGTATTTTTAGAAGAATAAAAGTGTAGAGAATTTGAAAATGAAAAAATCCGAAATCACAATTTTTTGAAAATATTTGGGTTCCAACACCCCTTTAAGCACTGTTTAAGAAATCATAATGTAAAACAATTATCAACTACTGCTAACAGGCCTCAAACTAATGGAAAAGTTGAACGAGTTAATCAAACAATAGCTAGGCTAAAATGTAAATAATTTCTTATCAGGGTAATATTGCATGGGCCAAATTGTTACCTCAGGTTACTATAATACACCCCATTCTGTAAAAAATTCCCATCTTATTAAACCCATTAGTTGCTGGTGTTGCGTTGACGCAATGGTCAAAATAAATGCGTATATAAATATAACTACCTAAGATATTTTATACCAGCAGATGATTTTGTGTAGGGAATATTATGAAGATTATTTCTGTAAAAAAATATTTGCCTTCAACAATCATTTTGTTTGTAATAATTAATCTCGTACTATAAGCAAAATTTTCGACCGGGTATGTTTGCTGAAGATATTTAACGAAAGAATCACAGTCTTTATGAGCGATCTATTTTTAGTCAAGGTCACCGTTTATCAGAACATTACATCAGTCAGATGTTTATATTTGTGTTGGGAAGGAAGGGAAAACAGGTGTTGCGCTGATGTAACATCAGCAGGAAACGGGTAGTCAATCTCCTTTTTCTCTCATTCCTTTCGATGTTCTGATTCGTGTTCTGGTTATTTAAAAATGCCTAGAACGAGAATCATCATCATCAGAAGAAGCCCTTCAAAGATTTTTTGATGAAGAAACAGATGATGATATTGTTAATAATGACCAGAATGAAACTGATATTGTTGTTGTTCCCCCAGAAAGTGCAGAAGCTAGTGGCAAAGAAGAAAGGAATGGCAATATTTTAAATAATGATAATGATATTTTACCAAATGATACTGCTGGGGAAGTTGAAATTCAAGTAAGAAGTAAGTTTCAGCCTTCTAAAAGCAGTTACAGTCATACTAAAAAGTTTAAAAAGCAGAAGACTGAAATCTTGGATAAAAAAGGAACTGTTATTTATGTCTCAGGAGGAACATGAAGAAAGAGATAAAAGAGAAATTATAAAAGACAAAATACAAGGTAAAACTAGTGCACAGATTTTCGATTTTCTTTTTGGTTTAGACATTTACTCTCTTCTCATTACGCAGACAAATATAAACACTCAGCAAAAAAATAAATAAATAAAAAGAGAGAGAGAAGGCGGCCCAGAATTTATTGCATCTGAAGCTTATACGAGAAGATTTATTGGAATATTATTGCTTACAGGATAGCATTCTTTACCTCAAGAAAAAATGTCCTGGTCTTTTGATAAGGACATTTCTGTTCCTGTTGTACGAGAATCGATATCACGTTTGCAGTACAGGAATACGAAGCAGAATTTGCATTTGACGATAGTCAAATTGACAATACTGATAAATTATATGAGGTGAGACCCTATCTAAACTTACTAAATATCACCACTTTTTTTACTACTGGAAATATAGTCTCTTTTAGATTTCAGACGTGAGAATGCATTATTCCTTTTGCAAACTCCTATTGAGAGTGTAGAATTAGCCAGAAATAGATCAGCAAAAGGAAGACCTAGTAAATTCAGCATTCAAAAACCATTGCATGGAGATGGTAGACATTTTATCGTAAAGTTCGATGATAGCAAAAGACTTCGTAGTAAAGAGACGTTTCAATTGAAAGACTTCAATCTTTCAATTGAAATAATCTGTATTTGTAAAAGAAATACAATATATATCTTAAATTAATTACAAGTAAAGTGATTTGTAGATTTATAAAACGTTATACAGCTAAAAAGTAATCCTGCACTCCACTCGAAAGAAACATCACACGAGTACAATCCTACTCACTAAACATGCGTAGTCTTATTCCGCTGACGTTGCGCAGACGCAACACTCGCTTTTGCCACAGGTAAGAGCATTTTTTTTTAAATTTTCAATGTAAATTTATGTTATAAATGCTAATTTAATACTTGTTATTATTTTCATGAGAAAAGAAACATTCCTTGTAGTTTTGGCGGTTAATGGGTTAATGTATGGAAAATTACCTTATGATCCTCTACTCGAAAATCAAGTATATCCTCAAATTGAAGCAGCCAGAAAAATGCCTCAAAAAAGGTCTGATGATCATAATGTAAATAAAAAACGATAAGACACCCAATTATAAACCCAGTAATTTTAAAACAGGTGATCCTAATACCCGTAAACTTCCTTCTCCCTTTTCAGGCCCTAGGAAAATTTTAAAACAATATCCTGAAGTTACTTATGGGAAAAAAAAAATAAATTAAGTAACGTTGTTGAAGTGTACAAAGTCAAAAACATTAGTGATCCAAAGAAAATCTAAACTGCTAAAATTTGGAGTAACTGAAGTCCCAACAATTCCAAATCTCTAACTTTGTACTATATTAGTACATTTATCAACTTTAGCAGCCTTTTAAGTGCAGCATTGTTAATTTTTTTTTTTAAAGTTTCTTCCAGAAAAAAGACAACACTGGTATTGGAAGCCAACAAGTTTCAGTTGAGTTAGACATTAGAAGATTAATGTTAGATGAAAACCTTCAATTTGCCATGAATGAACTCGAGAAAAAAACATTTGATTTCCCCATTGTATGTCATTTCACTAATGATATTCTATGGAGTAATTAGCAGATTAACAAATAGGGCGAATATAGTACCATAGTTCAAGTTCTTAAAAACTTAATTCTTTTAAAAATAGGCACAGTACCTTCCTTTGAAATTTTAGTTAAGATATTTATAATTAACATTTTTCTTGTGGCCAACTTCAGAATTAATAATTAGTACTGCTTCATGCTATGTGGTACCATTATTCATTAAACTAACAATACATAATGAAGTTTGACATAGTCTTAGAAAAAGAATATTTTAAAATTTTTACTTTAGAAATACAATTTTCTGAACACCTGTTTTAAAGTGTACGTTGAAAATACCAAAAAGTGTTTTTGCTGCTGATGACTAGGAAATTCAATTTGCTGCTTCACAATTTAACTTTATACAAGTATATCATTAAACAACCATCAAGAGTTTTAATGATAATTTTTTAAAATACTCACTTCAGCTGTCAGGTACTCAAGAATAGCTGCACTATACACAGCTGCAGTAGCACCAACTCGGCCATGACTTATAGTACGATGTTTCAAATGTCGGTGTATACGGCCAACAGGGAACTAAAAGAAGTACACACAATATAGAACATTTAATGAAACTGTTCAGGATACTGTAATGAAACTGTTTTATAGATGTATTCATTACAAATAATGAATGCATCTATAAAATAAGCCATAACTTATGAGTTAAAGTTTTAGAATAATAAAATTATTTGCTACCTGTTAAATAATGGGTTTTCTAGAAATATAATCCAAACACATACACTGTTTAAGAAATTGACAAAAATATATGCATTTAAATGCATTAAAATTTAAACTGCTATGTATCAGTGTAACAGGGGGAAGAAAAAATAAATAAAGAAAGAAAAAACATTTCAAAACCAATACAAGTTAAAATTACCACAAAACAGCTCTCGCGTAGAAATTTCCAAATTGTATTCATAAATTTCATTCACCAATAAAATATTTTAATGTAAAATCAAAATGAATGTTTTAATCAGTACTTAAACTCTACTAGTATTTGCATCACACTTCTCATATTTAATCCATAATAACATGTTCTGAAAATAATTTCTGTCTAGTAATAAAATAGAACAAGACCTTTTTGTTTCTAAAGTATACATCTTGGACTACCCACAGTACTGCATTATGACCATACTGGGTTTTTGTCATACATTCTGCCACATATCAACTGAGAAACAAGCTGCTTTTTGCCCAAACTTCCCTTAATTTGGGGGAAAAGACATTAGTGCAAATGATAAGTCTGGGGTTATAAAAGGGGTGCTCAATAACCTCTCACCATAAATTTGGAAGAAACGATCATATAGTCGGGATACCATGTTTCAGTATTTCTGAATGGCTTTCCCTTGATCTTTTTAGTGTTCTACAATAAGCATTTACAAATTTGTTCACTTTAAATTAAATTTATTGAAGAAAACACATTCCTTAGTAAAGGTTAGAGACTGGAAACTATGACATAATGTATCATTTTCAGTTATACCTTCCCCCCCCCAAAAAAAAAAGAAAGCAGAGAGAATGAATCAAACATCACCAGAAGGAATAAGAACCTTGCCCAAAGATTCCAAACTGGGAAACGAGATGTTGAATGAAGGTCTTCAAATTACAGCCCAACAGGAAAAAATAAACAGCGATCTAATTTAACAGAACTGAAATTTTTTGGAAGTATTTAGTGGTAAATAAACCAATTAGGATGCTCGATTTATGAAAATTATATTTTCGTCACATATGCAACAAATGGCTATAGGTGATGGAACAAATAAAAATATCTAGAAATGTTAAAATCTGATGAAAATTTCCATTCATTAAATGGGGAAGCTAAAAATATAGATATAAAAATAATTCTGTGAGAAGGAAACCAAACTGAAGTTCTTAAATATTTGAGATAAAAGCATTTCAACCATGAAAGATGATTTAGAAGCTGATAAGGAGAACGAAAATGGAAAATGAACAAGAGTAATGTTAAGTAAAGTACACAGGTTTATTAATGCCATTCCAGGAAACAATATTATGAGAAAATAAAAGAAACATGGTTAATCATTATTGGGAAAAAAATGTTAATAAATAATAACTCTGAAAATTTATAGGGTTGCTGCAAGATGGTTTCAACAGGGAGGAATTAACTTTAAAGAAACATGCAGTTATGTTATAAGTAATACAGAATTAAGCATATTATTTGCAACAGCAGCCAAGAATAAGTTCGAAACAATGTAGTTTCATGTAAAAAATTACTTTTCTGTATGGAAACATAAAAGATATTTACATGAAAGTTCCAGATGGCTTTGATTATGGAAGCAAAATATTAAAATTATAGAAGTCTCTTTTATGGACTAAAACAAGTTCCATTCAATTTAAATGAAAGCTTCACTAAATTTCTAAAAAGTAAAGGTTTCATTCAAAACAAATGAGATAAACATGCATTTAGATTCCTCAATGATTTTAGCAGTATTTGTTGATGATGCCTTTTAACTCAAATGATGAACAAATGAAGAAATTTTTAGAAGTAATATTAAATGAATTTCAGTTAAGAGTCAAAGAGCATTTAAGTAATTTTTTAGGAATAACATTAAAACAGTCAATACAAGAGTCGAAATCTAATATCTGGAACGACCTAAAATTTTTTTTAATACTTTATGCTTGTGTATTCATTCTGACGCCAATGAGGGAAATAATTTTTTATTATGTTTTTTCTTTCATCACTGCATGACTACCAACACACTGCAACTTTAGAAATGACTCGTGCAGCTATGTCTAAACACTTTTTTAAATTTTTAATATTAATAATTTAATACCAAAGCTTGTGGTAACCTTTTATATTGACATTGTGCTTGGCAATGATTACAGATTTCAGCTACTCTGCTGTGAAGTTAGGTTGGGTTAGGTTAATCGATTAAGGCGAAGCAACTTGAGGGCTATCCTTCATCGGGAGGAATGCCTTCGCGGAAGTCGTTTAAGGGAAACAGGCTCGTATCCATGTTACACCTGAGGAAAACCACAAAAACTCCCATGCATCCAGTCCACTTGCCAGGATTAAAAACCCAAACTGAACTACCAGTATTCAACAACATTAACACTTGGCCACCAGTGGGTTCTGCTATTAAGTATTGAGTGTGTTGACAAGAACACAATTTTTTCCCACATGCAGAAAATTGTAATTGATACTTATGAGCCAAAGGTCATATTCTGTGTTGCTTGCATTCAGAATAACCGATTTGTCATTCAGTTAAAACCTCGGCTGGTGTGGCTGCATCGAGCAGCAGAATTTAGGGAAAGGAAAATTTTTAGAATTCAAGAGAACAACAAAATTAATGGCAAAATCTTTAGAATTTCAGGAAGGGACACAGACACAAAAACATTACAACAGTTCTTGGCAGCAGAATTTCGGACCCACAGACACTGCACCAGCTCTGGACAAGAATTAACTGTATGTGACTGTTTATTTGGGACAAGTCTTAAGCATGTGTAGGAAATAGGTGTTAGTATAATAAACAGCTAAACTATAACTCAGGCTAAAATTCATCAGCGTGCAATAGAAGAAAGACAACATTTAGTGGAACCACATGTTGCCAATCTCATGATACATCACAAATAGTGTATAGTGGACGCGAACTAAACTTTATGATGATAGCCATGAATTTGAGGTTTTTCAGATATTGCAAGCAAAAAGCAGAATTTTCCAATTAATGGAATTTACAAAGAAATGTGAAGTGGTAATAAATGATGATATAGCGGAAGTTTTTATTTGATGATATAAAGTCCCAATCATCAATCAACTAATGAACGGCAAAATCTTAAAGGTTCTAAAGCCAGAAAAAATTGCTGCTGATAGCAAAGAATGTAACAAAGAGATGATTCAAAACAAAAAAATTTTGAATTACAATTTAGTGGGAATTCTTATCATGGCTATTACGGGATTTGAACAATCGAACTTTTTAACTGAAGAAGAAATACCAATATATAGCCCCAAAACAAAGCAACTTAAACAACTTGTGTTGAAAGAAATGTTTAAAGTAAACAAATAACACAAATATTGAGCTTTTTTCTTTTAATTGTTTCCCTTAAGGTCACAAATGCTTCATTTCATACATATTTCATATTTTTAATTTTATAATTTCTACATGTCATCTTGCTAGATTTAAACTGATGATCTAATATCTAGAATCGCAGAGTCTGATGATCTCGGATTTTGCAACATATTCACTCAAGAAATGCAGAATCACTAAATGTAAAGGAAGAAGTACTCTAATCAGCAATATCTAATGAAAAATTAATTTCCCTTATAAAGAAGTATAGTCTTTAATCCGGACTCGTCGGGACTTCGGCGATTCCGGATTATAGTTCATCAATTCAAATCTGGTAAGATGGCATGCAGAAATTATAAAATAAAAAATATGAAACTGTAATTTATGAAATAAAGAGCAATTATGATCTAAAGGGTATAAAAAATTTACAAAAAAAAAAAAAAAAAAAAAAAAAAAAAAAAAAAAAAGAGTTTAATATTTATTTGTTTACTTTATTAAACATTTCTTTCAACGCGCGCATGTGCAAAGCATACATTATGCATAGTCGAAATTAGAAAATTGCTACCAGAAAACTATTTGATGTGTATTCGTGATATTTATAATGACGAGGAATTTGATTTAAATCATATCAAAGACGGAGTACATCGAGATGAAATACTACATTTAGTAAGAAATTATAAGCCAAATAAAATAAAAACATCTGCCCTGAAGATAAGGATAGTGCTGACAGATCAACTTCCAGTTCATTGCGCGCCGCAACGTCCCCCCCCCAGAGCAGCATGAACTTTTTGTTTGATGGACATTGAAACATGCTTTCACTTTGTAAATCCTTTGGCAGCTTCAGAATCGGAAATTTTTTTTGGCATGAAAGTTCAAGCTTACTTTTATAAAATTGCTCTAACAGTCTGCAAAAAATAATAAGCCAGATCCAATTCGAAGATCAAGGAACAACACAATCTGCAACATTAACTGAAATAGATAATTAGATAATTTTAGCTTAGCTTATACCGTCCGTTATACATTAAATGTGCATGCTTAAATGTAGTATGCGTTTACGCATGCGCAGAAAGTTTGTAGCTTTGAGGTCCGGATTATAGATCATTCTAGATTAAAGACTTTTGACTGTATTTGGTAATCTTTCGTTGTGTCCAACAAAACTTTTCCAGATTTAATATATGATGTTTTCTTCAAAACAGACATACAAAAATCCAAGTACAAAAGATATTGAAAATGTAAAAATGTACAAATAAGGATCTTCATTAAATTTCCCTAAAATAGCTTTTCTTAACAAAAGAAGTACAAGTTCAAGTAATACAGATCAGAAACAAGCAGAAGCACTGTTAATATACCATTTTATATGAAGAAAATCCTGCCGAGTTAAAGTATGATGAAACAACTAGTAGTTGCTTTATTAACTACAAAAGCTAAGCACACAGCAGCAGCAAACTATGTTAAGGAACTTTTGTATTTAATTTTTTTTTTTTAAGTACCCAATAAAACGGTATAAATAACTTTAATAAA